TGAATTAGCCGCACAAGTAAGTCCTCCATTGTCGGAAAGGGAGATGACTGGCTTATTTTCCAACACTTTCAAAGCCCCGTATTTTGAATACTTGGTAGGTAGTGCAGCATAAAATTTCTCTGATTTGGTGGTCATAGCTGAAAGGATCGAACAAGCTGTTCGGACAGGTAGGATCGTGGATCCTACTGAAAAAAAAAGGTTTTATTGGAAAGAGGAAAGAAACGGAAGTTCACAATGTTGAAAGGGAAAGTAGAGGGAAGAAAACCTACCAAGATAATTACAGCTTCAAAAGTATTCCACCTACCCCCTCTATATCCAATATAAAATTCTCTTCACCTACAAACACCCAAACCAACCCAATAAACACCCAAACCAATAATGCCTACCGCCCAAGAAGAAATTTTCCAGCAAATTAAGTGCAACATCCACCATTACCCATGTCTCTTACTGAAATGCACCAAAGATTGCTTAGTATTGGTCAAATAGCACCTATTTCATTAGAACCTTTACAACCACCATTTCCCTTTTAGTATAAACCCGATCAAAAATATGAATACCATGCTGGTGCTATCGGTCATAATATTGATGGATGTATTGCATTCAAAAGAAAAATCCTTCAGCTCATCAAAGCTGGTTGGATTTCTTTTGATGAGTCTCCAAATGTGAATTCTAACCCTCTACCAAATCATGCTTCTAGAAGTGGGGGAGTTAATAATTTGGAGATAAGAAGGGGAAGTACATCAACTTTAAGGGTGACTATGGATAGATTGTATGGGATGTTGAGGCAAACAGACTATCTCAAGACACTAGTCAAAGTACAAACGATAAGGAATGTGAATGAATATTTTAAGTATCATCAGCAGCTTGGGCATGATATCGACTCGTGCGAGGAGTTTCATTTGGAGGTAGAAAATATGATGACGTTGGGAGTATTAAGATTAATGAAACCCAAAGAAGATGAATTGGTAGGAACAATGACTGGTGGTAACAAGAAAGTGGAAGTTTATAGATATATACCAACCGAAAAGGGTCCACCGAAAATGATCCTAACCAAGCCTAATAATACTGTTAGCGGGAGTTTTAATGCCCAACCCTATAATTATGGTTATTCCTTTCAGAACACAAATCCTGCCCCTGTTTTCCATGCTGAAATAGGAGGACTCACTCGGAGTGGGAGATGTTTTACTCCTGAAGAGTTGGAAAATCATAAAAAAGCCAAAGGAAAGGATATGGTGGAATTGACAAAGACAGATGAGGTTAATAAGCCAATAAGTGATGAAGAGGCTAATGAATTTCTGAAATTGATGAAGAACAATGAATATAGTGTGGTTGATCAGCTAAAGAAAACACCGGCTAGGATTTCTTTGTTGTCATTAATATTGAGTTCAGAATTGCATAGGAACGCGTTTCATAAGGTTCTTAATGAAGCATATGTTCCTCAGGATATCACACAAGACTCCATAGAACATTTGGTGGGCAGGATTCAAGCCACCAACTACCTCTACTTTACCGATGATGAGCTAGATCATGAAGGGACCGGTCATAATAAACCATTGCACATCACGGTAAAATGCAAGGATTGTGTGGTCGCTAAGGTGCTTATAGATAATGGTTCTGCTCTCAATGTATTGCCAAGACATGTACTTGATAAAATGCCAATTGATGCCTCTCACATGAAGCCAAGTACCATGATTGCTAGGGCATATAATGGATCACCTCGACCAATCATTGAGAGTATTGATGTTGAACTAATCATTGGCCCACAACCATTTCAAGTCACATTACAAGTAATGGACATTCATCCATCATATAACATGTTACTTGGGAGACCTTGGATCCATGCAGCCCGAGCTGTCACATCTTCTTTACATCAATGGGTCAAGTTTATCATCAATGGAAATTTGGTGACTGTGAAGGCTGAGGAAACTTTATCAACAATGAAAAATGTGTCGATCCCTTACATGGAAACTAAAGAAAGTAAGGATGGAAATCTGCATGCATTTGAAGTTATAAATGCTGAATGGGTACCAGAAAATATGATACGAAGGAAACCAGAAATTTTTGGAGCAGCAAAAATGGCTGCTAAATACTTCTTAAAGCATGGACTGCCATTTCAATATGACCACACTACTGGAATGCCTGAGAGGGTTAATGTGATAAAAATGAAGTGCGTGGATCAAAGGTTTGGATTAGGGTTTAAGCCTGGGAAAGCAGATTTCAAAAGAGCAGCTGAAATTAGAAGAGAAAAAGAATGGCCCGGATTGAAAGGAGAGAACCAGATGAAGATCGAATGGAGATCCCACCAATCCATGTAACGTTCCCAAGACCCGCATATGTGATAAAAACTGAAGATTATGAGGGAGGACTAAGAAAGGAATTCAATGGTGTTACTATCAATTATCTTGAAAAAGTCAGTGAACAAGAGTTAAAGGAAGAAGATAGTATTCATGAACAGTTGCCCCAGCTGACTATTAGTGTTTTAGAAGATGGCTCATCAGAATTCATGAGGAAACTGGCAGAGGGATAAGATTTAACAAATTGGGAAATTCATGAAGTTCCAATTATTTTCAAAAAGTAATGTTTGTTTACTTGTTTGTTGTTTTGGTTATTTGTATTGTTTGAATAATTGTGCCTTGCCAATCATCATGGCTTAAGAGATTGACAATAAGGTTTTGTGGTTGAGCCCTTCTATCCTTTAAATTTCAATGAGATCATGCATACTTTCTTTCAATCATGTTTTTCTTTTTCTCTATTCATTTATTTAATTTCCCAGAACTATATACTCATAACCGAAACACTTTCCACTTTCAGGAAATCTAAAAGCGGATTGTCATACACCTCACAAACTCATTGCACTGTGGATAATTGGCTTAACTTTGATGAAAATATAATTGTCATGGATGAGGAAGAGTTTGGTGTAGAGGATATCCATGAGTTCCCAAGGTTAGTCGAACAATCTGACCGCACATGGAAGCCTGCAAAAGAAGAATTAGAATTGATAAATATGGGCACCGAGGATAATAAAAGGGAGTTGAAGATAGGGAAGTTAGTCTCTGCTGACGAAAGAGGGAAATTGATTGCTCTTTTACAAGAATATGTTGATGTTTTTTCCTGGTCTAGATACTGATATTGTGGTATATAAACTACCTTTGATAGAAGGTTGTAAACCAGTTAAGCAAAAGTTGAGGAGGACAAGGCCAGATATACTAATCAAAGTGAAAGAAGAAATAACGAAATAGTGGGACGCTGGATTCTTGGAAGTGGTCGATTATTCTCAATGGGTGTCCAATATCGTAGTAGTACCCAAGAAAGATAACAAAATCAGGGTATGTGTGGATTTCCGAGACTTGAATAAGGCAAGCCTGAAGGATAATTTTCCTTTACCCCATATAGATGTGCTAGTGGATAGTGCTGCTAAGAGTTTTACTTACTCTTTTATGGATGGTTTCTCTGGGTATAATCAAATTAAAATGGCCGAGCAAGACAAGAAGAAAACAACAATTGTCACCCCATGGGGAACATATTGCTATAAAGTTATGCCATTTGGATTGAAAAATGCTGGGGTAACTTATCAAAGAGCAATGGTGACACTATTTCATGATATGATGCACAAAGAAATTGAGATATATATGGATGATATGATTGCTAAGTCTAAAGATGAGGAAAACCATATCCCAGCTCTGAAGAAATTGTTTGAAAGGCTGAGAAAATATCAATTAAAGTTGAACCCTGTAAAATGCACATTTGGGGTGAAGTCGGGGAAGTTATTGGGATTTATGGTAAGCAATAATGGCATAAAAGTAGACCCTGACAAAGTAAAGGCCATACAAGCTATGTCAGCTCCTAAAACCGAGAAAGAAGTTTGAGGTTTTTTAGGGCGTTTAAATTACATTGCTCGATTTATTTCACAATTTATAGTCACTTGTGAACCGATCTTTCGATTACTTAAAAAGAAAAACCCTGGAGTATGGGATGAAGACTATCAAAAAGCCTTTGATAAGATCAAACAATATCTACAGAACCCACCTCTATTGGTACCGCCTGTGCCCGGGAAGCCTCTCATTTTATATTTAACAGTGACTGAATTAGCAATGGGCTGTGTGCTTGGCCAACATGATGAGACCGGAAGAAAAGAACAAGCCATCTACTACCTTAGCAAAAAGTTCACTGAGTGTGAATCTCGTTACAGTATGATTGAGAAGTTGTGTTGTGCTTTGGTATGGAGTGCGAAAAGACTCCGAGAATATATGCTATATTATACCACTTGGTTAATTTCAAAGATAGATCCTTTAAAATATATTTTTGAAAAACCATACATGTCAAATAGGTTGGCCAGATGGCAAATGTTGTTGGCTGAATATGATATCATCTACAAAACAAGAAAATCCATGAAAGGAAGTGCAATCGCAGATCATTTAGCTGATAATGCCCTTGAAGACTATGAGCCATTAAATTTTGACTTCCCTGATGAAGATGTGCTAGTAATAGAAAGTGATTGGTGGACCATGTACTTTGATGGTGTAGTGAATGTGTCTGGTAATGGAGCTAGTGTTGTAATAATTTCTCTAGAAGGAAAACAATATCCCATCTCCATTAAACTGCAATTTAGTTGCACAAACAACATAGCTGAATATGAGGCTTACATTCATGGATTAAAAGCTGCATTGGAACTGAAGATACGAAAACTAGAGGTATATGAAGACTCCATGTTGATAATCTGTCAGACAAAGGGGGAATGACAGACAAAAGATGAGAAATTGAAACCATATCAAGAATATCTCTCCAAGTTGGCTGAAAAATTTGAAGAGATAGAGTTCAATAATTTAGGAAGGGATAAGAATCAGTTTGCGGATGCTTTAGCAATCCTGGCCTTTATGGCTACAATCGATTGTGGTATCAGAGTACATCCTATAGGCATTGATATCAAAAGTTCTCCTGCTCATTGTTATTTAATAGAATAAGAAATTGATGGCAATCCTTGGTATGCAAATATAAAAAGATTCATTCAATATCGGGAATATCCTTCTGAAGCTTCAAAAATAGATAAGAAGACATTGAGAAGAATGACCATGGAATACTTTCTAGATGGAGAAATCTTATACAAAAGGGCATTTGATGGGACTTTATTAAGATGCCTAGACAGATTAGAAGCCAATAAAGCTTTGTATGAAGTACACGGAGGAATTTGCACCACCCATGCAAATGGACACGTGATGGCGAGACAGATGCAAAAAGCTGGGTATTTTTGGATGACTATGGAGAAGGATTGTATAGAATTAGTATGAAGATGTCATAAATGTCAGGTGTATAGTGACAAAATCAATACGCCTCCATTGCCCTTATTCAATATGGTGTCACCTTGGCCATTTGCAATGTGAGGGATAGATGTGATTGGGCCTATTAATCCAAAAACCAGCAATGGTCATCGATTTATCTTGGTCGTAATTGATTATTTTACAAAATGGGTGGAGGCCTGTTCATATACTCATGTGACGCAGAAAGTGGTCAAGCGTTTCATTGAGAGAGACCTAGTTTGTAGGTATGGTTTGCCATAAAGGATAGTAACCGATAACGCCAAGAATTTCAATGGGAAGATGATCGTGGAATTATGCACTAAATGGAAAATCAAGCATTCCAATTCATCCCCTTACCGACCAAAGATGAATGGTGCTGTTGAAGCGGCTAACAAGAACATAAAGAAGATTGTCTAGAAAATGGTGGTTACATATAAAGATTGGCAGGAATGGCTTCCTTATGCTCTACATGCATATCGAACAGCAATAAGGACGTCCATTGGGGCTACACCTTATTCATTAGTTTACGGAATGGAGACAGTGATGCCTTTGGAAGTAGAGATTCCTTCTTTAAGGGTCCTTATGGAATCTAAGCTAGAAAAGGCTAAATGAGCAAGAATACAATATGAACAGCTAAATATGATAAGTGAAAAGAGATTACCTACAATTTGTCACCACCAACTATATCAAAAAAAGGTAGCAAGAGCATATGACAGAAACGTTCGACCAAGAGAGTTTGAAGCAGGAGATCTTATATTGAGAAAAATCCTATTACTACCTAATGAAAATCATAGCAAGTGGGCACCCAATTATGAAGGTTCCTATATAGTAAAAAAAACATTCTCTGGAGGAGCGTTGATACTGACAAGAATGGATGGAGAAGAGTTGAGTAGGCTAGTGAATTCCGATTCTGTGAAGAAATATTATCCATGATTGTATAAGTTCTCATCTAATCAATAAAAGTTTTGCCAATAAATTCACTTTGCATGTCTTTGCTCTCTCTTATAAATGTTTATTGATATCAAAGAATCAGTAAATACAACCTTGAAGCCTTGCATGATCTCATAAATTCAATTCATTATCCTTAACAAAATCAGTTTCCCTATTAGAGTTTGGAAGAATTGATTTGACATTTTGATTTCGAAAAGTAATTTGATGTTTATTCAAAAATGATATTTTTGACATTCTACTTGTAAAATGACAAGTGAATCAAGCAACTCCATTATTGAGGTGACTAAATTATAAACAAAAAAAATTTTATAAAAAAAAAGAAAAAAAAGAAATGAATAAACACCTTTACCCCATTACTCTTGAATCATGTGTTTTTTTTAATGTATGAATAATGGTATGCAGTGAACTTGTTGCTCATAACTCATGAAATGAGGAAAGGTCATCTTTGTTATTCCTTTCACGTTCTAAAATAAGTACATCCCTTGCAAACCTTTTTTGAGCCTAAATAATTTTTTCTTTCATAAAAAAAATCCCGACTAGGATCACACCCTACATTAGGGGCAAGTGAAATTTCAATTATCAAGAAAAATGATAAAGCTGTGAGAAAGCCAAAAGTCAAAAAGCCCAAGAAACTCAAATGCTAGAGGGCATGCCCAAATCACAAAAAAAAAAGTGATAACCAAGATAAAGTGAGTATGCTCTATAGCAAAGCAATGAAAAAGAAAAAAAAAGCAGCAAATCAAAGAAGAGCGCCAAAAGAAAATTTGAATGACATCAATAGTCAAACTGTTAATAGTGATCCTCAGTCTTTGAAGCCCTGAAACACTCTTTGAGCCTTATGAATCATTTTCTTTCATAGCAAAAAACCACAGCCTATGTTACGTGCCTATAGAAGTCCTTTCTAATCAAGCAAGCAATCAACCTAGAACAACAAACAATGCTCTCAAAATAAAAAGAATACTTTTTCATAAGATTCATGACATCAAGAATAAACTACTCATTATTATTTATGCTGATAAAAATAAATATGCAAAAAAAAAAAAGACAAGTTCTTCTCATACAAAACCTCGAGCTTTTTCTCGAGCCCTCAACTCTGAAAACCTATAAAAACAAAAGGTCATAATATCATGATATATTTTCACCAAAGACCTCATTGCCAAACACAAGAGCAAATAATATCTTTTTCAAGAAAGAAAATAACCAAGGAGTTGCAAGATTTCAAAAGCAAATTGTTATTAGACTCACATTAAAATAATTTTTATTTCAAAATGCAAGATCAAGATTTCAAGATTTATTCTAGACTCATATTCCTTCACCAAACAGAAAAAAAATAGAAATGAGAGAATGACCTCTTAAAACCATTATTTGTCCAAATCACTAACAGAGCACACTTAGAGGCAATAACCAATACAAGGGGGCAACATTGTGTTTAAAAGGAAAACTTCTAGAAAAGGAGATGGTAATTTCCTTCAACCAGACAAGGGGGCATTTTGGTTTACAAAAGACAGCTCAATCTTTTCAGCAAGTGACACCGAATGTTTCTAGCAGTGAAACGAGGAGTAATGAGTGGTCCTCTCAAATTATTTAACGAATCAAAAAATCTTTAGCAAGTAAGTGGGTGACGATGGGCACTAAAAATACTGAGTTGTGCAAACAAATTTGGAAATAGACTTACATAGGGCAACTCAAGTGGGCTAGAAAGTTAAAACGATAAAGATGACTCAAATTAGATAGCAAGATCTCACCAACCGAGCAACGAGAAGATTAAGAAGAAACGGGGGCCTATATTTCAAATAAGGTAAAGATGCATACATATCATTTAAACTTTGAGACATTGCACAATGAGTTTTGCAAATTTTATTAGAGAAAATTCTAATAGAATCCATCATGTAGAAGACCAACTGGAAATGGCGAACATTGAACTTACTGTTGGAAAATTTTCACTTTTAAGAATTTTTCAACTTGAGCAGGCCGTCCATGAGAATTAGGCCACCTAAAAAATCTATCTATTTTTCCACCACCTTTCAGTTTCCACTCTTGAGGTAGTGCATTTCCTATCCTACCTCCATTCAAGCGTGCCTTTGAGCCCTCATCTTATCTCCATTCGAGCGTGTCTTTCAACCCTCGTCTTATCTCCATTCGAGAGCGCCTTCGAGCCCTCAACCATCAAAGGTAGTGCATTTCCTATCCTATCTCCATTCGAGCGCACCTTCGAGCCCTCATTTCCTTCGACCATCTGGGTAGGTAACCCATTACAATATACCATCTGGGCAGGTGACCCATTACAATGTGACCATCTGGGAGGTAACCCATTACAATATACCATCTGGGTAGGTGACCCATTACAATATGACCATCTGGGAGGTAACCCATTACAATATACCATCTGGGCAGGTGACCCATTACAATGTGACCATCTAGGTAGGTAACCCATTACAATATACCATCTGGGCAGGTAACCCATTACAATGTGACCATCTGGGTCGGTAACCCATTACAATATACCACCTTACACTAGGCAGGTAACCCATTACAATATAAAAACACAAAAAAAAAAATGGGTCTTCTCCCAAACAATTTGTTGCTAGATTCCTACATCTCTGTGTAAAGGTCATGTATCAATCTACTCTTTTCAAAATTCTAAAAAAAAAAAGCTCTTTCTGTATCTAATTTTCTTTATAAATTTACTACACAAAGCTAAAAGAAAATGAAATTTTCTTATATCGTTGCATAGTAAATATTATAAAGAGGGAGCAACTGTCATAACCAAATTTTTTATTTTTTTTTGTTTATTTACTAAAAAATTTTGATAAAAAAAGTAAATGAAGAATGAATTAAAATTTGAGTTAATGAAAATATGATTGGAAAGTTTAAATATTTATTAAACTCTTGACTAGTTTAATTAATTAAATCAAGGGTTTAATTGGAGAATTAATAAATTTTGAGACTTAATTGAGCTTGGGATTAAGTTAACTAATTAAATTAAAAGAAATTGAGGAATTAATGAGTTCGAGGACTTAATTAAACTTTGACTTAATTAATTAAAAGAATCAGGGGTTTAATTGAAGAAATACCAAAGTTTGGGGGTTATTCAGAAAATTGCTGGAAAATTAAAATCCAAGGACTAAATTGAATAGTTTAGAAATTCAGGACTATTGTGTAAACAACGTACCAATTTAGGGATCTAATTGAAATTAACCCATAAAGGGCAAAAATTGAAAGAAATTTTAATTGAATTAAGATCTCAATTGTTAAGTTTAAAACGTTCAGGGACCAAAGTGAAAAATAGCCTAACGATAAATGGCGCCGTTTGGAAGTCCTGTTCTGCATCCCTTCCATTTCGCGTGGAGAATACCGGTTTCACAGGAAATCGGCAACAGTCGTGGATCACGTCTCTTTCCCATGATCTCATCCACGATTTGAATAAGAGTCCTGCAAAGATTGGATTGACAAATGGAGGAGCTTTGGGAGCTCTATAAAAGGACTTGAAAACC